ATAAATTTACCATAATGTTTACCAGCGCCAACTTTAGCTGCAGATCGTTTCGCTCCAACGAACGGCGCTATCTTCTATTCCGTGGGAGGTCAGTTTTAATTGGCGATGATTCGGTTCCGGTTATTAGATCTCTGTTTGCCTAGGTCGGCTCGCAACGCGAATGCGTGCGTAATTTGCGCGTAATGGCAAAAGCTCTTGCTATGCTACAACGATTCTAGACTATAGACACATAAAACAATAATTATTAACATAAAATCGTTTGTTCGAAAATATATTGTAAGAATCAATTTTATTTAGTACGCGCTAGAGAATATTTTCGAGTTTCGTGATTCTATAAATTATCTGTTAGTTGCAATATTTAAGTAGTGCAATTTACAAAATAGTCTAATCAAGTCAGTACTCGTTGAATGATTTTGCTTTTTGGATATAAGCAAAAGATAAATAATGTATTGTATTTATTTAAATAATAATGTAATTAGTGATTTATAATGTGCTTCTTAGTAATTGTAATAATCACTAATTATGTTTTCTGTAAGTAAATGAGGATACGTTTTCATATTTTTATTAATGCTATTTGGGTGGACAGTACGGACATACAACTTCGCACTGCACAAGCTTATAAGAAAATTAAGGGTAATTTAGTAGCTAGAATAATACTGTAATAGACGAAGGTAATAATTTATTATTGAATAATTACCATGCTAATTATAATGACATGATTTATATACAATTATATATTATATACAATTGCTTCTAAATCAGAAAAATAATTCGTTCTTGTATGCTTGTGGAAAAATGAGCAATCTGAATAGATTTATTTTGTTTTCAAGTTATTCTTTCGAAATATTTTCATTAATTTTTTTTGTATCTTATAATTATTTTCGATTATTATTTTCTTATATTTTTGGTGATTATTATTTCGTAATTTTTACATAAATAAAGAAAATATGTGTAGAATTTCGATATGTTCTCTACAAACAATATTGTCAAAAATGTATAGAAATTTTTCATAAGTATTAATTAAGAAGATGAGTTATTTTTCTATTAACTACCTCTCGAAAGCCCATCGAGGATGTATGCTTCCAACTTTAAAGCTCTTCTAAATGGTTTTAAGATGCAAAATAATATTAATTAGAATGCATTAACTTTATAATTACGCTAATTAAAATATAAACTTGAGTACTTTGCATGTAATCATAAACAAAACATAAAGGTAATAAAAAATAATTGTAGTAATTATAAATTCAATCTAGGAAAGTTATTACTGTATTGTTACTATTTGAAAGCAACTAACGTAACGCAAATGCACATGTGCATAATGCAATTCGTGTAATACGATATGAATAAATTTTAATTTATGTTTCATTTTATGTAATTTATGTATACATATATAAATGAATAAGTAATATACAATGATACAATGTAAAGTGCAATAACTTGATGAAGAAATATACAATTTAATTGTTAATATACAATAAAGTTAATATAGTTAGTACAGAAAACAGTAGTGTATTCACATTTAAAATCTAATATACTTCTCACTCATAAATTTTCATATTGTTATACTTAAGCATATATTATTATTATAACTTAGACTACAAAATATTATAAACGTGTTACATATTTTATCTTCTCGGGCGGCTTGTTCTTAATATTAGAGCAGATTTTCAATCCCGTGTTGATTATATTGCGGTAAAAATGCAAGATTGTAAATTACGTTGGTATACATGTATATTTTTCTAACGCCTTCAGGTTGGAAACAAGTTATAAAAACCATTTCACATCATTAATATGAAAATTCTGGTGAGGTAAATCAGATCGTAGAACTATTTACGTTCTCTTGTAAATGTCGAGAAAGAGTGACATGCTATTTAATCGTAACTTTCTGTTTTGTTAAACTTTTAATATGGATATTTTGCTAGAAACTTATATATTATAGAAAATTGAATATAGGATATGATTTGTAGTGCTTCATTAATTAATGCAATTATATTTTTTCCAAATATGGCAACCAAAATTGGTGACCCTAACGTAAATATCTAGACACCAGCACCTAGTACAGCCGTACGGTATTATTAAAATTGTCTTTAAAGAGAAAATAAAGTAGATATCATTTTTATTTTCTAAAATGTGCTGATGAAAATATAAATTTGAAATTTTTTATTCTCAAAATTTTGTGTTACAGAACGCTTTACAATATATGGAATTTGATATGTTAACAACTTTTCAAAAGACAAATAGTAATAAGTCAAGAGCACTTAATAAATGCATTAATTATCTTATGAGTTTAATAATCTGATACATAATTATCCTTCATTTTTAAAATTATAGAGAAAATTGTATCCAGTTTTGACGTGGCGACATATAATGAACAGCGTAGCTATGCTGCGACATACAATTGAGCATTTTGCAAAAAAATACAGGTGCTCGAATATGCATATGAAATATTATTATGAACGCCTGTGGCATTTGTAGAATTAACATACGAACATAACAGGGGTGGCAAACTAGAAAATATAAGAGGGCCACTTTTAAAAATAGTGGCGAGAACTCACTGAAGACCATACGCCAACGATCCTCGGATCGATTCTTGGCAATGATATAGAATTTGAAATTTTGAGTTAAAATTAAATAGAATTTGAATAGTTGATTTGAAATCGCATAAAAATAGAAGTAAAAAAGTAGAATTCAAATAGTTAATTTGAATTTTATAGAATGTGAATTGTCGCATTGAATTTGAATAAAATTAGAACTAAGAAGAAAAAGCAAGGTTAGAATTGGAATATATTATAAAAATGGAGTAATCGGTTATAAAGAACAAAAAACAAAAATTGAATATAATTGGATATAAAGCTAGTACATTTTTCGTAAAAATGAAGTTTATATTTTTTTCTATTTTACCTCTATCTCACCTGATACATTATTTAATGACATATCTACACAGTGCGTAGTACATTCAGTAATACAACGGGCAAAATGATAATGAGAAATTGCACTAAAATAATGATATCGTATCCGTCCGGTAACAAGTTTTTCATACATTCTACATATAGGTTGAGAGAACTCTTTTTATGAAACATATTTGTAATAAGTATTGAATATTTATTACTGGTTTGGTATTTATATACCCTGTCACAGTTGTATAACTTATAGGTAAATGGAGGTAAATTGTGCAGGCAACTTGTTGGTTGTAAACGTAAAAATCAATTGGATATTTGAATAAATGTTGGTATAAATTATACTATAAATTAGAGGCGTGTAAATTGTGCTATCGTTTATATTAATAAACTGTAGGTACTCAGAGTAAATTGACTCTTTGGCGTTTTGATATTTATTAGCTGCAATTCTAATAAATGTTATTCATTAGGAACATCAAATGCAAGAGAAAGTAATATTAGTTTCTTCTAGACTTGGTGCAGATACGATTGTTTGGAATGATGAAAATAATTGATTCAATTTTAATATAGATTGATATATTATTTTTATCAATTATACTTTGTAATCACCTAAGCATTAATTATTTAAAATAAATATGTTTCAACAAACTGATCACTTATATAAGGTTATCAAATTCGGTCTATAGAAGTTCTTAATCAAATTAATTGACCTCTGATTGTAACAGTAATTTATACACATTTATTAGTTATGCCTGTATGTATATATATTTCATTATTTTCTTTTAAAACTATGTGATAAAGTTTCAAATTCCTTTTATCAGCTTCAAACTTTACTACATAATGATGAAATGCTTACGAATATTTCATGATAGTTCTCTCAGTTCAATAAATAGATAGCATTGCTCAAAAAAAGTTTTCCAATCGAGACATTAAATAACTCTTGCTATTTTCAATTTCTTCAAATATAAAGTATACTTTTATTATATACATCATATATCTCAGCATTTCGGATCTTCATATCTAAATATCTATACTATACCTCGGATTGTAACTCATAAAGTTACAATTTATATTTTAACAGTACTCCGAGGATGCAGAACGTCTCGCATATAAATTGAATTTCTCTAACTTTCGTTAAATATGGGAAGACATTAACAGGGGATGCGCAGTTTCGATGATATATTTTAAACTTTTATAAAGTATTACGTATACTTTTAAAGAGGACATTTCCCATGTGCGCTCTCTGGAAAGACGCTGTTTTATAGTTGCAAATGTAGAATGAGCACTGGTCGACCAAATATTCAAACCAGCAATTTTATACATATGAGAAAATCATTGTCGAAAAAGAATTTACACATAATAAACTTATTAGAAACATATAAAACTGTAATTAAATATCTGATCGTTTTACAAATTCGAAAATGTCAAGACTCCACACATCACTCCCCGTTTAGGGTTGACGACGAATCTTTTCAAAGGTGATCGGAAACACGTTGTGTTTTATTTCTGTCTACTAATCCCGTAGAAATCAAGAGAGTTAATTAATTGTAAAATTGGCTTGTACATTTGCTATTCTCTTGGCTTAGTGCTTACAGTAATACTGCCGCCTAGCCCGCGGAAGACCGGTGGTCGGGGCTAGTAAATGTGCTTTTAATTAATATGAGCTATGAATAAAATTTGGAACTGTATAATAAGATTAAGGCCCGGGTACGATATTACATATTCAATCAAATGAAAATTATTTTTTTCCATTTTAATAAATTTTACCCTTGCTTTTCCTTTAAAAATGTTTTATAGTGGCGCGCGTGTCACAGTTGCTCCGAACGGGCGGACTTTCAACGTTCCTGTATTATTCACCGCAGATAAATTCAGACGATTTAGTGTTCCGCTTAAATCAGAATCAGACTTTCGTATGCACAGGTGTGCGTTTAAATTTTCTCTAGCTCTAACCAGATGTGCAAAAGTATTTTTATTCTCACCATCAGTTATAAAAAATATATATTATCTATTTGAACATTTTTTAACTAATATAACAAAATTTAACCACTTGACTAAACAATTCTTAATGTCATTGTATATTAATTTTCTGTTTTTTTTTTTCAGAATGACACAATGCGTGTGATGTGGGCTTTCCATGCCTCCGAGCCGGTCTCGGGTGCAGTGGCACCAGGCTCCTTGCCTTATGGAGCATCGGTTGTCCGAGGGACCAGATCTCTATTTCTGGGCCAAAGAGTAAATCAAAGCAAACCACCACCAGAGACGAATTCTAGGGTTTGGGAACTCAGGAACCCAGAAGTAGAGCTTCCACAAGGCGAAGACACTTTGTACTGGTGTCGAGTCTTTAAGCTTCCAGAAAGTATTAATAAGAAGAGCCACATGATTCGGGTAAGTCATAATAATAATACTTATATTAGATACATAGACGATGCCTTTAAAATTGAAAAAAAAAAGAAAAAGTGTAATCTTTGCTATAGTTCCAAATGTCTCATGCTAATTTCTGTCAAATCACACGTAAAAGATCTGGTAAGCTGCAGGACAACAAATACAGTGATCATTAGAAAGCAGTTGTCCTTAACTAGCAGTGCTTTCAATTTATTATTTAGGTCTATTAGTATATAAAATTTTTAACTTCCTTTATCAAACCACTATATCTCGCTGACACCACACATCGTTCATTTACTAAGATGTCACGAGCACTTTTACCGAACTGGTAACTTCTTTAAACGACATTACATTGAATTACAGCCGAACCGACATTTTCTAGTAGTTTCTGTAGTTTGCAGTAATATCAACTTTAACTCTCTCGGTGGCAACTTTATTATTTTGCGACGACTCAGCAATAATTTTATATCTTGTGTAATTCTTGCTCTAGTTCTCTTAATTCTTTTAACTTTGAAGAACAGTTTCATAAAATGTTGGGAGCACTATTTTATTTAATAAAGTTAGTTCGATGTAAGTTCGAAGAGATCCTTGTAAAATTGAGCTGCTAAAATTATAAATGCAATTGGAAAATGAAGCGTTGCCGTGAATTTTTTTTTCACAGGATTGTTTTAAATCTATAAGCTTTAATCAATTCAAATATGTTTATCCACAATGTTTGATTATATTATTTTATTTATAATCAGAAAGAGTTAATTATATTTGCATTGCAATCATGCATAAATTTGAAAATTTTAAATAATGTGGTAGCTTTCATAATTGTCCAATAAATAATTTCTTATAAATTATGGCACTGTTCCTCGACAGCTCGAAAGTTTATCATGTTTCCCCTTCTATGAAAAGTTTTTGTTACCTCGAATCGATCCAAAAATTTTTGAAGTCTTTCGGTTATATGTACATATACCTACGCACTTTCACCCCCAAGATAAGGAAAAAATAGCCAAAGTTCCTGTAAGAGGATTTTCGAAGACGTCAGTTTTCGAAGGAGCTGTCCTCGCCAATATGGAAATGACGTAAGGATGACATGATAGGATTTACAAAAGAGCACGTCCTGTCTTTAGGCCGTTAATTGAAAATGTCAAAGATTAAAATTCGACTAGCAGAGCTTTGATATGATTTGATGTGAAGATTATTAGTCGTTGTCTGGTAGGGTACTCACTCAAAGGAACATTAAATACTTTGATGCAAAAGTGGGAAGTACTAATTTGCACTTAGAACATGTAATTAAATAACTTGTGTAATTAGATAATTTGGATCGCTATTTACTTTACTATGACTAGAAACTTCATTCGATAGTCAATGTAGTAAAAGTTTTATGGATTGACACAAGTTGAACCAAATGATTTTTGGACAGGTGTAAATTGTTCCACGGTATTATTCTAAATTTTGAGTTCAAGGCGTGTTTGATCATTTGTGGTTACTGAAATTTCAAAAATGTAAATTTTATTAAATAAAATTTTTGATTTCTTTCCACTAGACTCTCATCTAGATCCAGAGGGTTACTCCCGATATTCCCATAATTCCATAATAATTCGTTTTGGCTTTTCGCCCGAGCAGTTAATTAAATAAAATGGAAAATTTTAACATCCACCCTTTGTTTCAGCGCCCCGTCATATTGAAGCTTAATTCAGTAATTTGTTTGGAAAATGATTTTTGAGTTTTTAGCTATTGTAACGCGAAATGTCAATGGGAGCTTTGGTAATGGATTTACGTAATATGAATTAAAGATAATCAAATACGTCAGTGTCGAAGTGAAAATGAAAATTCTACTTTTCGGCCTGGTTATCAGCGCGTATAATTCAATCATTTATTTTTCAGTCGATTTAGTACTTTCCTGATGGCTCTTGTAATTGATGGATGTCGGGAGTTGTTAGTTTTAACTTTTATTCATTGTCAGCTAAAAATTTTCACATTTTTATACTGATATTTGCTAGATTAGTATTGTAAGATTGAGCAATAATCATTAAAATAAATGTTTTAATTTTGTTGAGATACGATCTATGATATATAGAAATCATCAATACCTCATTTTATGATATGTTTCAACATCACTAAAATATTTGCTAGTCACGACTCAAAATATACACTTATTAGTTATTCGAAAGTATTTTACAGATTAATAAACAGCATTTACAACATTGTTTTATTGACCATCTAATAAACTTACAACAGAATAACTTTCATTTCAATTTTGGCATATCATGTCTTTAAATTACTATTTTTATTGCCCACCGAAACATTATTGCAAAGTCATAAATAATAAAAATATTTTCTCTTGGTCACTCATATATTGCTCAGATTTATTATTTTAATTATTTGGTGATTATTATTAAGCATACATAATATAATTGCATATTTTACAATTTCTCTGAATCGAATGGATTGGATTAGTAATCGTATTATTATTAAAGGTCTAGTAATCATCAAGCATTTTTGTTAATTTATAAACACCATGACTTATTCATTTTACGGCGAAAATATCATCTATCCCAAGTGGTTCATATTTACATTCTTTTATGGTAATTTTTCACGTATTTCTTCAATTACTTAAATATCAATACATTTTTCAATTGTTCTTATATAATTCAAGATTTTTTTCTTCTTGAAGAAATGGGCTGAATCTCATACGCCCAAACTTATCAATTAAAATGAGACATAAAGACATAAAGACATAACCCGAAGGAACTAATCTGGTTCAACCCTATTTCATAACCATAATTCACTTGGAATCTTCTTTCAAAGACCAGGAATGAGGCCAGCGGGCACAAAGTCTGCAAGTAGGGTGAATTTAATGCCGAAACATCTTGTTTAAGTTTATAATACCTACATAGACAGATTCACGACTGCAGAGGAAACCCTCGGCAAATACACGAATATTTACCCCCGGGCGTATCGACGGGGTGGATCTATGCAAACATCGGCCGATGTTATATGGTAATAAATTTTGTATATTTTTTTAAAGAAGTCGGGCTAAGGAGACGGGACGAGGTTGTTGATTTTATTTTTAGAGGGAACCGAAATAAAATAAGGGAAATGAAATATGTAAAATTTAACTTTTTTGATTCACTAATTTTGCATACAAAATGAGAACCAAATTTGTGTCATTACTTAATACCGTCACATAGACCTTACACTAAATGGACTGCTAGTCCTCATAAGTTTTCCATTTTGTAAAGTATCAAAAGATTGAAAAGGACTGTGATGTTCCTCAGTGAACGAGCGTGGCCGATAATCGTGGAACACTCCCGATGAATTGAATCAGATTCAGCAATTGATCAGTATAATCACAACATCAATAACATCAATATAAATCATTTATCCGCTACCAAATAATCAAGCAATATCTTACCAACACAAGCTAACAAATCCTTATAGATAACACAATAGATTCCTACATCTTGGCCAAATTTATCCACATGATTAGTAGTTTTAGGAAGGACTTACCATCTTGTTTAATAACAGAGCAACAACAATAAGTTACACTTACTGTGTAATCCCGTAGTATAGTTTCTGAACTAAACGCACATATTGTAAACATAGAAGGCACGATGGTAAATATCAAGCAACTCTGATTACAATACATACCAAGATATTAAATTAGAAACTGGATAAGTTTATGTACAGATTCTGGTCTGTTCCGCACATAGTTTGGCGGTGAATGCAATTCAAACTATGGGATTAAGAAATTGAGGGTTTGGAATTGACTTAATCAGGAATTATAGATATATTCCAAATATTAAGGAAATTTCACTTAAATTGAATGAGATAAGTCATCCAGCCTACAACACACATGTATTCATTATTATAGAGTCATAGGTCGTGCATCGGATAACACGGAAGTTCTAGTCTACAATTTAGTTATTAAATTTAAACTTATGTAAAATTTGTACAAAAAAGAATATTCTATCCACTCATAATACTTTTGATATATATGTATTTTATCAGTGTGTGTTTCATATTTATCTGAAACAATTTCAAAAACTGTTTTTTGCGATGCGAATGAAACAATGAAATCTTCATGAACATACTTGACATGTTTATTTCAAAGCTTTTTTTGAAAGCAAAAACATTTCACCATATACTATAGAAATGTAGGAATATAAAATATAATGGATTAAGCAGAAAATCATATAATCCTGTAGCTGAAAAAGCGCCCGGCAAACGAAAGCTTGTAAAGGATTTTGGAATATGTATATATAGAAATATGTATGTATATATAAAAATATATATGTATATATATACATATGTGGGTAGTTTTTTTCTTTATCGGTCCGTTATTCGGTTCATGCAACCCTTGTCCGTAGGTCCGTTTGTTTGCGAATCGGATTATTGCGAATGACTCGGCTAATATGATTCACCCACACAAATGAAGATTTATGTACTGATGTATGTAAAGTACATATGCAGAGGAAATCTAAAACGTTTTAAAATAATCAAATATTAACTAGATGTAAGTGGAACGAGGCAACTTTGCCTGATTAATTAGCGAGGAAACGATCTCGCTGATCTTTGCCAAAATCTAATCAGTATGGTTCCCAAACTATTATATTTCGATCGGTTTTTGAACCAACAAAATCGGTTCCGGATTTTTTAGCGAAGACGTGGAGAAAATTTTGTAGTTTTCTGCTTATTCTAAAAAAATTGGCCGATCGTTTTACAAATCATGGCAAGTCCTTAACGAGAAACTTCGAAATGGTTTTACTTTTTTTGAAATCGGTTTAGACGTTTTTGACAAAACGTCGACGAAAGCTAAGTATACGCCTTAAATATATACACCCACATACATAAACTCACACTTCTTACAATTTTAATGTATTAGTGGAGGATATGCAACATTCGTAACAATTATGAATAATATTATAAAAATCACTATAACGGTCAGAATACTAACTACGCAGTTGTAATTAATTACTCATGGTACTACATTGTATGCTCGAGATATCCTTGACAAGCCCAGCAAACGTTGATAAAATTCATTTTTAAACCACAATATGCAGTAACAACTAAGTAAAGCATTGATTTGCACTATACAATTGAACAAGTCGTAAAATATGTTAGCAAGGATTTCAAAGTCACATTGAGGCGAGCTGATAAAAAGGCTTCCAATGACGCAGTGTTA